CTCGATCCCGGGACTCCAGGATCATGACCGGAGCCTGAGGCAGTTGCTTAACCAACTGAGCCACCCAGGCACCCCTACAAATAGATATTTTTAAATAACAGAAGAGTAGTCACAGACATTACTCACCAAAGTTTGTATGCAACATTTACCATCTATAGTGACTGCCATGTGACCACAAATTCAACAGTTTACAGATTAATACACCCTCCAGTTATGAAATGTGATTCTCAAGAAAAGTTTTAAAATTTGGGACATTTGTATCATTTAAAATCTTTTTTTTGAAATGAGAGTTTTCATCTTATTACTAGTGTAACTTACACCTTTTGAAATTTTCATAAAATGCACCCACATTAGGCTTTTGTGGTTTTTAACCATCTGTTCAACAAATATTTGATGAGCTGAGTTCTGAGCTCAGGAGCCAGGTATGCAGAAATAAAGCAAAAAGACATAAAATAGTGGCTAGTATCTGTTAGATCCTAGCTCTGTAGGGCTACTACAGAAAAGTTAAGAGACTTGCTACATCCTGAGGCAGTAAATTGACTAAGTGGTTTCAGCCTTTTTTTTCTTAATTTAGGGTAAGATACACTTGTTTATTATTTTTTGTTTGTTTGTTTTTTAAAGATTTTATTTATTTGACAGAGACAGCAAGATAGGTAATACAAGCTGGGGGAGTGGGAGAAGGAGAAGCAGGTTCCCCACAGAGCAGAGGCTTGATCCCACGACCCTGGGACCATGCCCCGAGATGAAGGCAGACGCCTAAGGACTGAGCCTCCCAGGCCCTCCAAGATAAAGTTTTAAAAATAAATTATAGCACTTATAATTTATTTATAAATTACAAATTTATAAATTTATACTTACATAATTTTTATATATATATATATATATATATATATATATATATATAGTCAATAAGCAGAAGACTTATACAGCAGAAGACTGTAGAAACCTTAAGTCACAGAATTTTTCTAATTGAGCACTGTTGTGTGACCAACATCTGATATTACTAGCAGTTCAGGAGCATTCTTTTCCCCCTGACCTGCTACCCCCTAAAAGTAACCACTCTCCTGTCTTCTGATATTATGGATTAATCTTGCCTGACTTTATATAAATAGTCTTAAAGTAATTATTCTTTTGTCTTGTCTTCTTTCATCAAGCATTAGAATTGTAAGATAAATTCATGTTGTGTGTCGTAGCTCATTCTCACTCTTATTGTTCTGTTATCATAAGCAGTTAAAATGTATGGATTTATTCTTCTGGTGATTGACATTGGAATTGTTTCCAGTTTGAGATAATTATGAATATTGTTGTCATCTTTGGGAAATAGAAGAATACATTTTTTTGTATGATATATACCTAGAAGTGGAATTGCCGGATTACGGGGGAAGGCAGGTGTGCATCTCCATAGCTTTGGTTGATAGGAACACGCAGCTTTCCAAAGTGCTTATCTCTTCTTACATTCCCGTGAGTCACGAGGAAGTGTTCCCAGTTGCTCCACATTCTTACGAGTGCTCCACATTTTCCTTGTCATTTTAGACATTCTGCGTGGTGTGTAGTGTTGTGCCTCTTTTTTTTTTTTTTTTAAGACCTCTTTCATCTTTTTCTAATATAAAGTCTACAGTTCTGTAGTGTTATATATGTTCACATTGCTGTGAAATAGAACCCCAGAGCTTCTTCATCTTGCAAATCTGAAACTTTATACCCATTAAATAACTCTCCATTTCCCCATCACCACAGCCACTGGTAACCACCATTCCACTTTTATGTTTTATGAATTTGACTACTTTTGAGTAGTTCTGTAACTAGAATCCTACAGATTTTCCCTTTTTTGTGTGTGACTGGCTTACTTCACATAACATTTTCTCTTTATGGTTGACCCATGTTGTAGGATGTAACAGGATTTCCTTCCTTAAGTGTGAGTAATATTCCATTATACATATATGCCACATTTTGTTTATCCATTCATCTGTCAATGGACATTTGAGTTATTTCCAGCCCTTGGCTACTGTGAATAGTGCTGCTATGAACATGCATGCGCAAATCCCTGTTTGAGCCCTTGCTTCCAACTCTTTTGGATGTATACTCAGAAGTGGAATTGTTGGATCACATGGCAGTTCTGTTTTTCATTTTTTGAGGAACTTCCAAACTGTTTTCTATAGCAATTGCACAATTTTAGAATCCCACCAGCATATGTAGTGCTTGAAAATTTTTTTACTTTGTTACATGACTAGAAATGTGGAACATACTTCACATGTTCATCATCTGTTTGATATTCTCTTGTGTTGAGCCTATTTGATTTTTTTTTTTTTTTTTTTTTGGCCAGTTTTCCTTTGTGTTTTATTACTCACTTGCAGAAATTTCTTTATGTATTTTGGGTAAAAATATTTTGCCAATTATGCGTATTGCCAATATTTCTCCCACTGTATTGCTTGCCTTTATAGCTTTTTAATCTATTGGTATTTAATGTTTTTGATGAACAGAGGTTCTTAATCATAATGTAATCCAGGGTTTTTTTTTTTTTTAATATTTTAGTTTTAAGTAATCTCTTCAACTAACATGAGGCTCAAACTTCTACCCGAGATGAAGAGTCTCATCTCTACCAACTGAGCCAGCTAGTTACCCCTATAATCCAACTTCTTAACTTTTTCCTTTTTAATTATTAAATTTGATAATTTATTCTAAAATGGTTTTACCTGCCTCAAGGTGATGAAGATGTTTCTTTCCCAAAACTTATTGTTTTAACTTTCATATTTAGATCAACAATATAACTCAAGCTACTTATGTGAAGTAGGGGTGACCATTCATATTTTTCCCATATGGATATCTACCTAGTATCATTCACTGAAAAGACTACTTTTATTGCAATGTCAACTTTGTCATAAGTCTGATGGCTATATATATATGCATCTCCTGCACTCTTTTTATTCTATTGATCTATTTTTCTGTCATTGCACCAATACTAAACTATAATTACTATAGCTTTACAATAGATAGTGATGATCTCATAAATTACTTTGCCTTTGTTCATTTTCTTGGCTTTTCATCTTCATTTCCATATATACTTGGGCACAAGTTTGTCAACTTCCACCCACAGCAAAATGAACTTTGATAGGATTTTGATTGGGCTTATGTCAAATCTAAGAATCCATTTGGGGAAAATTGACATGATAATAGTGTCTATTCCATGAACATGGTACTTCTGTCCATTTATTTAGGTCATCTTTAATTTCTTTTAATGTTTTTATAGTTTTCATAGGTCTTACACAGGTTTAACACTTGTCTTCCTCCATTTAGACTGCTATGAGAAAATACCAGACTGAATGGCTTCTATACAACAGAAATTTATTTCTCACAGTTCTGGAGTTTGGAAGTCTCAGATCAGGGTGCCAGCATGGTTGGGTGAGGGCCCTCTTCTCTTTGTGTTTTCACATGTTTAAAGGCATTAGGGAGTTCTGTGGTGTCTATTTGATATGAACACTAACCTCACTAATGAGAGCTTCCCCCTTATGACTTAATTATCTCCCAAAGGCCCTACTTCCTAATACCATCACAATTGGGATTCAGGATTTATTATATTGATTTTGGGTGGCCACAAATATCCATACCAAGGCAATACCCAAGGTGCTTATCGAACTTTGATCTGAATTTAAGGCCCATTATGCTTAATTCTCTGATGTTCACTAAAGGATATTTGGAAAATCTGGGGAAAGCACAGATACGTATTAAGCAGCATTTCAGCATTTCCCGTACAAAAACCCAATCAATGTAACTTTGTTCTTTGTTCAATAACTTGTAAAGTATCTAGAAAAATTTTGTTTGGTACAATATATATCATTTTGTATTTGAGCTTATTTGAAAGCAAATGTGTTCTTATTTGGCTGTAAAAGGACATATAAATATAGAAAAAAATTTTAATATAAATAATTGTGTTTAGGGGGAAGGTCCTAAAGCCAACTCTACTCAAGGGATGCCTTGGTAGCAATGATTGTTAACCATCTGGAGTGACAGAAGAAAGTGATATTGGGTAACTAACATCTTAAGAAGTTTCATCTCAAGTTTATGTAATATTATTATAGCAACAAAAATGGAATCTTAATTATGCTGTTGGCTGCTCCATTTTGGTCATAGGGGTGGGCACCTTTATCATTTACTGATTATGTACTGATTAATGTGGTCAGTATCTTTGCTCTGTAAATTTGTGATCTGTGGAGGGAGTTTTAACCAGAATTGGTTGGTTTTATGTCTTGTCAACATTTTTATGTAATTCTTTTTGTACGCATTGGGACCACCGGGCAATATTAAGTACTTTTGAGGCCTTTTTAGCACCCCGTGGGTATGATGTGGTGTAAGATAAATCAATCACTTACTCAAAATTAATTGTTGTATTTTGCATTTACCATGTCAACTGAACCACCTTAATCTTATGATAATACGGGTATGTTAAATCCTTGTGGTAGCATGGGAAAAAATCACAGAAATTGCAGGAACATTGCTCTGTATATTAATTATTCTGTATAATAAAGCCATTCACCCAAGGCAAAGATCCATAACTTTGTGCAAATGCTAAATTTCAGGCCGAAGTTGATTTTTTAAATTGGGAGTCCTTGGTTATTTGCATGTAGCTGGATTTGTCCCGTTGTGGCATTTGTGGAAGAGCAGAACAGTTAGGCTCTTTTCTAGGATATCCTGTGTTGTCTGTTTTGCAATACTGTATCAACAGTGAAATAAAACACAAACAGCTTTGTTCTACTTTTACAAATAACTACCATACCACAGACTTCTGTTCTGCCTGTTGTTTGTTTAGTCAAGTAAGCTGGGATACTCGGATGAGTTGTGTGGACGCAGCTAGTCAGAAAACTGAATGTCATAGAGGCTTCAACCCTTTCAGAAATAGTCGTGTTAAAGACCTAAAATGCAATGACACAGAGCTTTCAAAACAATATCCATTGCACTCAACTGTAGGTTTCTTGTTTTCTATAAATAAATGCATTCTGCTTTTCCAGGTTTTAAGAAGAGGCAGCGATGAAGAGAAAGTTCTTTGTTTGGTCCGGCAACGTACGGGCCATCACTGTCAAACAGCTGTGATGGTGGTTCTCATTATGGTATGGGACGGCATTCCTCTGCCCATGGCAGACAGATTGTACACGGAGCTTACGGAAAACCTAAAGTCATACAATGGTCATCCCACAGACCGAAGATGCACGCTCAATGAAAAGTAATCAAATCTGTTTTGTACTGCTTTCCCATTCAGACCTCTGTCGTACAATATGAAATTGTTCATGAACTACCAGGATGCCTGGATGGCTCAGTCAGTTAAGCCGCTGCCTTTGGCTCAGGTCATGATCCCAGGTCCTGGGATCCCAGAGTCCCGCATCGGGCTCCGTGCTCGGCAGGGAGCCTGCTTCTCTGCCTCTGCCTGCTTGTGCACTCACTCGCACTCTCGCTCTAGCTCTCTCTCTCTCTCTCTGACAAATAAATAAATAAATAAATAAAAATCTTTTAAAAAAATATTCATTAACTGCCAATTATGCATATTACAGAATTTCAGGCATTCTGAAACTGAAGAATGAGCATATATTTTAAAAAGCAAGACTTGGTTGCATAGTGAGTTGAAACCATCGTAGGGTCAGTCTATCTATCTGTCTGTCTATCTATCTACTAGTAATCTCTACATCCAGCATGGCACTCAAGCTCACCACCCCCAGACCAGACCCTGAGATCAAGAGTTACGGGGCTCCTCTGACTGAGCCAACCAGGTACCCTTAGAGAGTATTCTTTTTCTGCTTCCCTCTTTGATGCCTGGTCCCACTCACCCAGGGTCTGGAAGAGAGGAATTTTTCCAGAAAGGAAAAGCTCTTCCATAGAGAATTATACCATATTCTCAGCAATGTAAGAGCATATCTGTTTTCCTACCATCTTGCTGGGAATATGATGTCAAACTTGAGGTTTTGCCTTTTTAGTAGGTGATAAGTGGCATTTTTCATGTTAGGAATGAGTGGTTAAGATTGCCTTTTGAGGTGGGGGTACTTACAGCTCAGTTGCCTATTCATTATTCTAGCCCTTGTTTCTAAAGGATTGCTGCTGCTTTTATGTATTGGAGCTCTTCACACTTTGCTGTATAATGTCTAAACATTTTTGCCAGTTTGATATTTGTCTTTTTACTTCTGCTATGTTATCTTTTGCAGAAGTTTTCCATTTTTATTACTTTTTAATCTCCACACCCTTGGGGCTCAGATTTACAATCCCAAAACGAAGAGGCACATTCTCCAGCAACTGAGCCAGCCAGGTGCCCCATCCCTTTTCCTTTTTAGTGAAATTAATCATAATCTATTTATTCTTTTGTGTCTGAATATTAACTGGTATTTAAGAACATTTTTCTCTCTTTAAAGGTATACAGTAATTCACCCATGTTTTCTTTTAGTCCTTGTTGAAATTGTAAATTTTTAAAACATGAATCTATGATGAATTTAAAATTTATGCTAGTTAATAGTGGGAGGAGGAGATCTATTTCTGTCCTTTTTTCCATTTACGAAAACACCACTTAACAAGAGAGCATTTCTGGGCACCTGGGTGGCTCAGTGGGTTGAAGCCTCTGCCTTCAGCTCAGGTCATGATCCCGGGGTCCTGGGATCGAGCCCCACATCCGGCTCTCCACTCAGCGGGGAGCCTGCTTCCTCCTCTCTCTCTCTGCCTGCCTCTCTGCCTATTTGTGATCTTTGTCTGTCAAATAAATAAAATCTTAAAAAAAACAAAAACAAGAGAGCATTTCTTTCCCCTTGTTTTGAAATGCCACTTTAATGTAAATCAAAATTATATATGAGATGGAGTCCTCTCTTGTATTTGAAATTTATATCAGTGTCCTGGCTTTTCATGTACTAGTACCACATTTTTTTTAATTATAGAGGTTGTATAATATATTTTCATTTTGGTAGGAATAGCTCACCTTACTCTCTCTTTTTCAAAGCTTTCTAGTATTCTTTTCTGTTTATGCTTCCATATAATCTTTAAAATGAATTTGTCTAGTTTAAGATGGATCCAGTGACATTTTTTTTTTTTAAGATTTTATTTATTTGACAGACACAGCGAGAGAGGGAACACAAGCAGTGGGAAAGGGAGAAGCAGGCTCCCCACCAAGCAGGGAGCCCAATGTGGGGCTCAATCCCAGGACCCCAGGATCACAACCTGAGCCGAAGGCAGACGCTTAACAACTGAGCCACACAGGTGCCCCTCCAATGACATTTTTAATGAGATTTCATTAAATTAACTTACTATGATATTGAATCTTCCTATCCCATAACATGGTTTTTCTTTCCATTTGTTCAGGTTTGCTTTTGTGTCCTTCAGGATTGTTTTGTGGTGTTTTCTTCATACGTGTCTTTCTTTTTTAAAAGAAATCTCATATATACTGGGGTGCCTGGCTGGCTCAGTTGGTGGAGTGTGCAACTCTTGATCTCGGGTTCTGAGTTCAAGCCACGTGGTCAATATAGAGATAATGTAGAGATTACTGAAAACATAAAAATCTTTTTGGGTGCTTGGGTTGCTCAGTAGGTTAAGCGTCCGACTCTTCCAGGTCAGGTCATGAGATCAAGCCCTGCATTGGGCTCCACACGGAACATGGGCCTTGCTTGAGATTCTCTCCTCCCTCTACCCCTTCCCCTGCTCATGCTTGCTCTCTATCTGTGTGTGTGTCTCTCTCTCTCTTTCTAAAATAAATAAATAGATAAATAAATAAATAAAATCTTTGCTAGAAAAATTAAAAATCTTTAAAAACAAATATCATCATATATATAAAATATAAACATAATATATATTGTCCCCTCTCTGATCACCACACAAAATTAATTTGCATACCTTTAGAATAATTCCTTTATGCTTATGTCATGATTTCATTACACTCTCCTTATCTTTACAATGCTAGTAATATACAAACTATTTTTAATGTCTGCTAATTCTTTTGTATGTAGATTCACAGTTACCATAATAACTCTTGTATGAAGGCTCTGCTTTGAAGGATATATATATATATATATATAGTCTAATTTAATCTTCCCAAGAATCCAACAACATGAGTTTTATTCTGTTTCACTCAATGTAGATCTAGCATACCTATTTATTTATTTATTTATTTGACAGAGAGAGAGATACAAGTAGGCAGAAAGGCAGGCGGGGGTGGGGGAAGCATGCTCCCTGCTGAGCAGAGAGCCAGATGAGGGGCTTGATCCCAGGACCCTGAGACCATGACCTGAGCTGAAGGCAGAGGCTTAACCCACTGAGCCACCCAGGCGCCCCCATACCTTTTTAATTTTTAAGTAATCTCTATACCCAATGTGGGGTTTAGTCTCATGACCCCAAAATAAAAGTCTTTTGCTCTACTGACTGAACCAGTCATGGCATGCCTCCAGCATATCTTTTTGTTTTTGTTTTTGTTTTTAAAGATTCTTGCAAGGGTTCCAGACTGGCTCATCAATCAGTAGAGCATGTGACTCCTGATCTCAGGGTTGTGAGTTCAAGTCCCATACTGGGTGTGGAGCCTAGTTAAGAAATAAATAAAATTAATAAATATTCTTACTGACAGAATATATGCAAGAATCCTTCAGTGAACACTATTATACCTCTCATAGATTTCATCGTCATTAAGTTTGTAACATTTGCATTTATACACAAAGCCACACATACACACAAACATATATTATTGTCAATTTTTAAAAGCTTTTTCACTCTGGATTGTTAGGTAGTTGCAGGCTTTATGCCTTTTTCCTGTAAATAATACTTCAGATGGTATATTCTAAGAATGAGGACATTCATTTATATAACACCAGCAAATTATCAAAATAACCAAATTTGTTAAAATGCTATTATCTAATCTATCTGAATATTTTCCAGTTATGTACTTTACAGGGGCACCTGGTGGCTTAGTCAGTTAAATGTCTGCCTTCTGCCCAGGTCATGGTCCTAGGGTCCTGGGACCAAGCCCTGCATTGGGCTCCCTGCTCAGTGGGGAGTCTGCTTCTCTCTCCCTATGCGCTCCCCCTGCTTGGATGGTCTCTTGATTGTTTCTTATCTCTTGCCTGGTCTTTCTTGGCACTGATTTTTTTTTTTAAGATGTTTTAAGGTGTTTTTATTTATTTGAGAGAGCATGGGGAGGGGCACAGGGAGAGAATCTCAACTCCCCACGGAGCACTGAGATCTCGACCCAGCAGAAATCAAGAGTCAGATGCTTTTTTTTTTTTTAAGCTATTTTTTTTTGTTTTTGTTTTAGATTTTATTTGTTTATTTGACAGACAGAGATCACAAGTAGACAGAGAGGCAGGCAGAGAGAGAGAGAGAGGGAAGCAGGCTCCCTGCCGAGCAGAGAGCCTGATGCGGGACCGATCCCAGGACCCTGAGATCATGACCTGAGCCGAAGGCAGCGGCTTAACCCACTGAGCCACCCAGGTGCCCCAAGAGTCAGATGCTTAACTAACTGAGCCACCCAGGCTCCTGGGCTTTGACATGCATTGACTTTTTTGAAGGCCTAATTTTATGGACCATTGCTCAGTTTTTGTTTGTCTGATTGTTTCTTTCTAATTAAATTCAATTGAGAAATTAGTGGTAGACTGCGTTTTGTCCATAACATTAAGACCTATTTTCAGTTCATTTGTCCTATTATCGGTGATGTTGACTATTTCAGATATTCTGCAAAAGCACTTTTAGGTCTCACAATCCTGTACATTTCCTATGTATTTCATTGTTTGAATAACTATCAGCTATTATTTAAACTACAATTTTCTTCCCATGTATCATTTTATTTTATTTTATTTTAAACGTTTTTTTTTAAGATTTTATTTATTTACTTGACAGATCACAAGTAGGCAGAGAGGCAGGCAGAGAGAGGAGGAAGCAGGCTCCCCGCTGAGCAGAGAGCCTGATGTGGGGCTGGATCCCAAGACCCTGAGATCATGACCTGAGCTGAAGGCAGAGGCTTAACCCACTGAGCCACGCAGGTGCCCCAGCCCATGTATCATTTTAATGACATAAATGTATTATTCATTTTTCTTTTCATAGTCAATGTTATCTTAGTATCAGGTATTTACTTGACTTTTTTTTTTTTTTAAGATTTTATTCATCCATTTGACAGAGAGATCGCAAGTAGGCAGAGAGGCAAGCAGAGGGGTGGGGGAAGCAGGCTCCCTGCTGAGCAGAGAGGCTGATGTGGGGCTTGATCCCAGGACCCTGGGATCATGACCCGAGCCGAAGGCAGAGGCTTTAACCCACTGAGCCACCCAGGCGCCCCTGTATCAGTATCAGTTTTTAAGTGATGGAGTTGAAGTCCAAAGACATAACGAGATAATCTCATTTTCATTTCTAATAGGGACACACATCCAGGATATAAAACGCAGACTCTTTGGGGCACCTGGGTGGCTCAATTGGTTAAGCGGCTGACTCATGTTTTCGTTTTCAGCTCTGATCATGACCTCAGGGTCTTGAGATCAAGCCCCAGGTCAGGCTCTGCAGTGAGCGTGGAGCCTATTTTAAGATTCTCTCATTGCTTTTTTTTTTTTTTTGAAGATTCTCTCTTAATAAGATAAAGTAAAATGCAGACTGTTTATTTCCTCTCAGGCATATCCAAGTCAAATAGGGCTGTGGGTATTTCTGTATAGTTTATTGCTGTTTCTTTGGATTTACAATCTTGAACGAACATTTTAGTTAAAAACTTGCTTATATCAAGGGCAGTTGGCTTTGTGTTGCTGACACTACTTACGATAAAATAAGTAACAAAATAGATATGTTAAAATCAGTTCATTGGTCATCTATACTTCTAAAGTCACAGGAATCGGAAATGTTCTGTCCGAGGTATTGGCCTCGCTTTGTCAGTTCATCCCCTTGCAATTCTCATCCTACAGTCGTACCTGTACATGTCAAGGAATTGATCCAGAGACCTGTGGAGCTTCATTCTCTTTTGGCTGTTCATGGAGTATGTATTTCAATGGATGTAAATTTGGTAGAAGCCCAAGCCCTAGAAGATTTAGAATTGATCCAAGCTCTCCCTTACACGTAAGTGTCCTTTTTTTACTTTTCAATTACACAATGAATTTATAAGTACATTCCTTAAAATATTTTCTAAATAGTAAAACAATGAGATATTTTAAAATAGCGTAAAAAACCTAAGACTCTCTATATAAGTAAGTAGTTTAAAATTCTCAATAAATTAGGTAAAGTCTTTAACTACCAACCCAAATTCCAACTGTCCCTGGTTCCCTCCTCCTCTCCCCTAACCCCCAAGAAAGTCATTGTTAAAAGAACCTAGAATTTTATACCCAGCCAAAGTAGGAAAAATAAATAAAGCCATTTGCCAACATTTCAAAGACTCAGAAAGTTTACTACCCACAGAACTACTATGAAAGAATTACTAAAGGACGTAATCCAGAAAGAAGATATATGAAACCGGAACCAATCTGTCCGGGACACGAGGCCATGGTGAGCAAAGAAATTAGTCAACCTTACTGTTAAGTTTAAATAAGTTGAGTACTTACATTTTTTTAATTAAAATAACAACCGATAAGTATAATTCCATACTCTTATCAACTCAAGGGTGGGTAGGCACTGGGAGGGGGTGGGGCACCTATAGGAACTAAGTGTGGTAATGTTTTATTCTTTGTTTGGAGTGGGGAGAATTTAGATACTAAGATCAGTGTTTTTCAAACTTTGAGCTGTGACCAAGAATAAAAAACATTTTATATTATAAACTGCTATACAATAGGTATATGCAAGCAAATAGTTCAAATAAAATATCAGAAGATAATACTTCATCTTCTATGCAAAAGAAGACATTAAAATATTTAAAATTAATATTCAATCTAGTTATTGCTGAGGTTCACTATGATTCACTATAAAATTTTTTATAAAATTTCATTTTTCTTCTTTTAAATGTTAGTTGTTACCTACTAAACTGATTTCTTGGCCCATGAATGAGTCATGACCCACAGCTTGGAAAACACTGCTCTAGGTGTCATCAGAAAAACATATATTTGAAAGTGTATTTTTAAGATTTTTTAGATTAATAGAAATAGAATTTTTACATTTTGAAGTAGTTGTGGGGGAAAAAAATCTTTAAAAAGAAGAAAATCTGAGAGGATTTTTAAAAATCGTTAGACTGCAAGATAAATAGGAAACACAAATAAAACAGGAATGAATCCATTTCTATAATACAATGAATATAACGTCTCTCAAGAAACTCAGAATTAATAATGATCCCTTTACAGAGATAATCAGAATTATTTAGCATGTTCTTGAGTTCTCATCTACTATAATTAAGCAAGGAAATGATTCCAGAAAGAACTATGATTTGCTGATCAAGGGCCTTGGGAGAAATCTAATAAGTATGTTAGGGGCGCCTGACTGTCTCAGTCAGTAGATTGTGTGACTCTTGATCTCAGGGCCATGAGTTCAAGCCCCACGTTGGGCATGGAGCTTACATTTAAAAAAAAAAAAAAAAAAAAAAAAAAGTATGTGAGACCTTTAGGAAGAAGACTTTAAAAGTTTAGTAAAGGACATATAAAACACCTAATCATGGAAAGGTGCTACTATGTTCAACCATAAGAACGCCTAATAATGTGATGTCCTTCTCCCTTAAAATTAAAATTAGTCAGTTAAGTTTTCTTTCCATATATTATACGATAAAACTACCAGTATATAAATATATTAGTAATATTGACGTGACTGTTAAATTTTTATTCTACAACAGAATGTTACATAATTACTAAGTATTAGATCAGTTTTTGTTGATGATTTTGAATATTGAATAACATCTATATAGTGCTTATAACATAATAAAAAGAAGCATTTCTCATTACAGAAACTGACAGAAGGCCAGTATGAAGCTCAGAGCAGGCAAGGGAGAGTAAGGTGAAAACACTGGCCTTGTATGGGATGTCAAACATTTTGGAAGATCATTGAAGGGTTTTAATGAAAGTGATACAATTACACTTGTCTTTGAAAGAGATCTCTCTGGTTGCTCTTTGAATAATGGTTTGGAGGTGGTGAAAAGTGTGTTTAGCAAGATGAGCTAGCCTTAAGAATAGTTGAGTGAAGAGATAATTGTGACTTGGTTGTGACAGAGGAAAGTGTGAGCAGTGGTTAGTCTGGACAGGTTTTTAATTACTAGATGATTACTAGATGGTAGTGACATTGCTCAAGGTAAGGTACATGGAAATAGAACCCAGTTTCGAAAGGGCAGATTATAGGTTCGTTTTGGAGCCACTAGATGAGAGATTTCTATAAAATCCAAGTGGGAATGTCAGGTCAGTAATAAGAATCTGGGGACACCTGGGTGGCTCAGTAGGTAGAGTGTTGGACTCTTAGTTTCGGCTCAGGTCATGATCTCATGGGTCTCGAGACTGAACCGCATGTTGCGCTCCACACTCAGTGGGGAGTCTGCTGGAAAAGTCTCTCTTCTGCCTCTTCCCCCGCATTCATGTTCTCTATCTCTCTCAAATAAATAAGTCTTAAATAAGAAAAAAGAGAAGAATCTAATACTTGTTTGATTTGTGGTCCAGATGTGGATATATGACAGTCCTAGGCATCAGGTATAGGAGGAGAAAAGCAGAGGAATGTAGGCTTAAGCCCCAGTGGGTTGATATCTGATAAGAAGAAACCTCTATATCTGACACACACATTTGTTCTAATGAAACAATTAAAAAATCAAAATTTTTACATTAATGAGACTTAAATTTGTAAGATGATACCAGTGCTCAGCTATACAAGCTTTATTTGATTTTTTTCTATGTGCCTACTGTATTTCAATATTTCTATACTGTAAATGAGCTATTTCATGATGACCAATTACTTAGTCTGACTTCTGATACCAGATGGTTCATAATCTCCTAGCAGTGAAACACAATTACCTATTCACCTAAATATTTCAGGTATTAGAAAACATAATCAAGGGGCGGCTGGGTGGCTCAGTGGGTTAAAGCCTCTGCCTTCGGCTCAGGTCATGATCCCAGGGTCCTGGGATCGAGCCCCGCATGGGGCTCTCTGCTCAGCAGGGAGCCTGCTTCCCTCTCTCTCTGTCTCTGCCTGCCTCTCTGCCTACTTGGGGCCTCTGTCTGTCAAATAAATAAATAAATAATCTTAAAAAAAAAAAAGACAAAAGAAAACATAATCAAAATCTTTTCAGTAGGTACTTAAATCACAATTGTAACTTTTCCTCAAATAAATGAAATAATTAATGGGTGAGTATAGCCAGGAAGTGTTTCTTGACTATATGAAACTGTATTAAGCAAATACATAAAACAGATAAAAGGAACCCAGTAATCTGTATATGGACTTGATATACATAAATTTCTTTTTCAATGCAAGCATCAACCTAAATTATTAAGAAACCAAAAGGGTTATCACTGATCCTTTACAGTTGCCCAAATTGGGGTTTGTTAAGTGCACTCAAGGATTAACTTCCTATGTCTACACTGTGTGTGGCTTTGGTTTTATTAATAATGTGATGCATATTAGAAGTGAACTCATCCACATCAAGGTCTTACTTATGTTCTTGACATCCACTAAATCTCAAATAAAGCAGAACTGTGGAACTTATCTTAAATCTCTCCTTCATCCCTTCATCCTTACTCTCAATTCCCCTTCGATAGTCTTCCTTTAGATGTGACTGATCATTTCTCAATTTGATTTAGGATACAGTCCTCTCTCAAAAATTATCACAGTGGTCTTTCAACTATTGTTTCCGAAGCCTACCTTATCTGCTGCATATGTTATACTATCTTCAATGATTTTTCTTTTAAGATTTTATTTATCTAGTTTAGAGAAGGAAACAGAGAGCATGAGCAGGGTAGGGGAGAGTATCAAACTTTCTTAGCTCCAGGATTGGATCCCAACGTGGGGCTCAAACTCACAACCTTGAGATCATGACCTGACCTGAAACCTCAGTGACATTTTGAATAGAGACATTTGTCATGCCTGTTCTCCTTGGGAAAAAAGGTCTTACATGTTTCTACTATCATTAGCAATCCAGTCTCTTTTCATGGTGTCCCACTGTGTCTTCCTCAGTTTGTGGCCATTATAACGAGAAAAAGAAGCCATTAGTTTTAGACAACCAGTTGCCCACTTACCGATATTTGAAGCTGTCAGCACAGGACCTGATGCGTAGTATTGCGCCTTATGTTTATTGTTATAGAAACTTTCGTTATACAGACTTGTTGCACTGTGTCAGAGTTTTTCAGCGTCTCCTCTTGCCACTAGGAACCCTGTCTTGATTTACTCCAAGTGCCCAGTACAACTGAATAAATACAATGTGGGGTGGGTTCTTCTCTTTAGCAACGTGAGCACTTTTCCTCTAACACCATTTAGATTTCTAACTACTTGTAACATAGAACTTGAATTTCAAAAACTAAATTAAAGCATAACAATGACCAGTAGTTCAGGTTTTTTAAGAAACAACCCATGTGATTTTCTGTGATAGCTCTTTTACTAGGGTAAGTATGAGTCTTAACGTCAACTGCACATCGGCAATGATTGATGATTCGTTTTCATACCTAAGACTCATGTCATTATGAAGCAACTTTCATGGGCTGTCTTTTCCTGTAGGAGAAAAACCTTGAAGATAATTTACAGAGTTTGGCTACACGATTAGCTCCAATTTATAAGCAGTATGCTCCCGTTGCTTATCAAAACCAGGTATGTTTGGGGACCGTGTATGCAGTGCTCTTAAATATGGTTGAAATTTCTATATAAGCCACATCATTGTTCATAGGAAAGCTTCAGATTTGAACTTGAGTGTATATCTATTTTTACAGAACAGCTTAAAAAATGGTCTAGCCTGGGGGCGCCTGGGTGGCTCAGTGGGTTAAAGCCTCTGCCTTTGGCTCGGGTTATGGTCCCGGGGTCCTGGGATCAGGCCCCGCATCGGGCTCTCTGCTCGGTGGGGAGCCTGCTTCCCCCCGCCCCTGCCTGCCTCTCTGCCTGCCTCTGCCTACCTGTGATCTCTCTCTCTCTGTCAAATAAATAAATAAAATCTTAAAAAAACAAAAACAAACAAACAAAAAAAAGTGGGCCAGCCTGGATGTGCCTGGCTGGCTAGTGGGTAGAGCATGTGACTCTTGACCTCAGAGTCATGACTTTCAGGCCAGTGTTGGGTGTCGATATTACTTTAAAAATATTTTTTTTAAAGAGTAAAAAAATTATCTAGCCTGTTTTTAAAAGACTTCCTGTTATGACAATTGAATTAAAACTGCAGAGTAACAGAATTGATTAATTCTAGAAATATAATTTCTAAAACAGGAATGCATGATTGGTTCAATGCAAGAAAATCAGTGTAGTATACTAACTACATTAATAGAACAGATGACAAAAACCACATGTTCTCCCTAGAGATAGAACACATTTGACAAAATCCAACACCTTCATGATAAAAGTAGTTAACAAAACAGCAATAGAAAAGAATTGCCTTGGCCTAATAAAGGATATCTACAAAAATCCACGGATAATATCATAATTACCAAAAAAGGACTAAAAAATTTTTTGCTTAATATCTGGAACAAGACAGTATCTACTTGCCATTTCTTTTAACATTTTGCAAGAGATTCTGTTAAAAACAAGTTGAAGAGGGGTGTCTGGGGGGCTCAGTTGTTGAGTGTCTGCCATTGGGCATCCGCCTTTGGCTCAGGTCATGATCCCTGCAGGATCCCACATAACAATGCAGGATCAAGCCTCACATGGGGCTCCCTGCCCTGCAGGAAGCCTGCTTCTCCCTCTTCCACTCCCCCTGCTTGTATCCCCGCCCCCCCCATCAAATAAATAAATAAGAACAAGTTGAACAAATTCAGAGTCGAAAAGGAGATAAAATGATCTCTACTAGCCAATGGTATGATCCTATGTGTGGAAACTACTGAGGGATACACATACACACACACTCAGTATTACTGCTAATAAATAAGTTTAGCAGGGTTTCAGGATATAAGATCAATATGCAAAGTCATTGTTTTTTGTATATACCAGCACTAGGCCATCCAAAACTAAAAATAAGGAAAAACTAGATTGTCAAAATTTCTAAATTTTTGTGCTTCAAAGGACATCATCAAGAAAATAAATGAGGGGTGTAGGAAATGAGGAGATGATCATTGGGGGTACAATCCCCCAGCCATAAGATAAATAATATTTGGCCATCTGTCGCACAGCATGGGGAGCATGATTTACAGTACCATATCATAAACTCAGAAATTTTTAAGAGATCTTAAGTGTTACCACAACATACACAACATAATCCTTACTTTGTAAACGGATTGAAATATTACCTAACCTCATTGCGGCAGTCGTTTTGGAAGACATATATGTATGCAGTCATCACAAGTAGAAAATTAGTGTTAATGATCTTTTTATTTTAAACATAACCAGAAATCTAGATTTCTTAGATCTTTATTTCTGTTATCATGAATAACATGCACTCTGTTAATTGCTAACCTTTGGTTTTAAAGAGAGTTATAAATTCAATTTCTGTATTGACTTATGAACATAAGTATGTAAGTTTACCTACTTTTCATAGACATTGAAACATCACACGTGCTTCATGCACTGTAGTAGTCTCTGTTCCTCCTGGGATAATTTAGCCTTACTCTGCTCACATACTCATCTCTAACAGGTGCTGTCGTCAGCCTGCCATCAGTCACAGCCAGTCGTTGTCATTTTACCTGATGTCCTTCCATACTCTTCCTCCTGAATGTTACTGAACTGCCCATCTATTTTACCACACGAGTCAGAAATCTCTGACTTAAAACATAGAATTCGTTTAGATACGTGGTCAGGAAGTGATTTTTACTTTTTACTAAAGGTGATTCTTTCTGGCTCTTAAAACTGTGTCATACATTTCTCTTTTTAGGTAGAATACGAACATGTGGCCCGAGAATGTCGGCTTGGCAGCAAAGAAGGGCGTCCTTTCTCTGGAGTCACCGCTTGCCTCGACTTCTGTGCCCATCCTCATAGGGACATTCACAACATGAATAATGGAAGCACTGTGGTATGTACCTGGGTGGCTTTTGATCCTAGAAGGTCCATAGCTGTATGCTTAGGCTGAGCTCCTGAAATAGGATGATTGTTAAAAATCCTGTTTTATGTTCTGCGCCACATAGTGCGTAATATCAATGCTATTAAGTTATTGTCGATATACTTGCACAAAGTTACAGAACTGGCCTTAGATATTTTGTTGAAAGTCTTGGATCATTGTGGTGTGGTTGCTAGGAGGTAGGAGTACAATTCTGTGCCATCAAACTGGTAGGTAGGAAGTTAAGCAACTTACCGTTTTTTGTTTTTGTTTTTTGCCTTCTGTGCACTTCAGGGTTGTTGTGAAGGAACTATGCCAAATATATCATCTTTTTTGTGTGTGTTTGTTCTTAGTGCCAGTATATATGTGTGAAGTTACATTAATATGCCAGCATTGTCAGAAATACTTGCATTGAGGGCGCCTGGGTGGCTCAGTGGGTTAAGCCTCTGCCTTTGGCTCAGGTCATGATCCCAAGGTCCTGGGATCGAGCCCCGCATCAGACTCTCTGCTCGGCGGGGAGCCTGCTTCCTCCTCCCTCTCTCTCTCTCTCTCTCTGCCTGACTCTCTGCCTACTTGTGATCTTGGTCTGTCAAATAAATAAAATAAAATTATTTAAAAAAAAAAAAAAGAAAGAAATACTTGCATTGAGCTGTGCAGCTAGGCTTACAGACATGAAAAGAATTACATGTCCATAGCATGAAGTCAATCAGGAGATGTTTCAGTTAGTTAAAAGACCCTGGGGAGAATCATGCAATAGTCCTTTTGTAAGTGGAATGGATTTGCTTCCAGTAATTTTCTTCTCCCCTGGTAAAACATACCACTCTGTTTTTGCACTACACCAGTCTGTTTGGTTAGCTCCATACAAGGAAGATAACCACAGGCTCCCGAGAAAGTAATCCATTTAATCCATCTAAAGGTAGCCTGCCTTTGTTGTCTGGCCAATAAAGTCTAGGAGTGATAGATTAAGGAGCCCCCCCCCCTTTTTTTTTTTTTCGTTTTTCTTAATCTTTCTTCTCCGTTCTTGTTGACTGTAGTGTTTGACCCATCAGTGTTATTTTCAGATGCTGAAATATTATAATCTGTCCGGGTGAATCTTCTCCAGAGCGTGGTTCGTTGTCATTGCTTGGCTAGTACATTTTACCTGATTTGCTTCCTTACAGACTATCTGTGCTCAGGCTGAATTAGGTTCAGAATCAAACTAAATTTTGGTTCCACTTCTCTCGTGCTCCTCCTTGTGCATTACTCTGCTGCCTCGTCTCCACTGCTCTCGTTCATGCCAGGAGGCTCGTTCCCAGAACCTGACAGAACTCCAAATTTCCCCATCTCTGAAACCCTGAGTTCTTCAAATGTGGCTGCAGTTCCCTTTTCACCCTGCCTGCTGCTTCCGTCCTTCTAATTATGCTCCTCATATCTACTCCTTGTCACCTTCTTAGTCCCCCTGCGAACAAATAAACTGAGTAAAATAAACATTTATTGGTGGAAGAGTCTACTTTTTAACACAGTTACTTTAAAATTACTGGTAATACCCAAGATAATTCAGTATTTCAAGTCTTGCTGGTAAATGTGATTATAAATATTGAGAAAATATTGTGATTTTTAAAACTTTATCTTACTTTCCCGTCTGTATTCATCAAGTCTATTGACCTTACAATCAGGCAGTTTTATTTCTTCTAGCATCTTAGAAAGAGCCCTTAGCTCTAGGAGAAATGTTTTTAATAAAAATAATGAAACAATTGGATATATTTTTGTTGGCTCTTTAATGACCCTTGAAAATTCATTACCACTAAGATACTAATCTATGAAGAAAAATGTGAATATTAGGTCAGGAATTTTCTGTATGTAGTTCTGTAGTTTAATTATCTACAATGAATAAAAATAACTTTTAAAGTCAGGAGGACTGAGATAGGTTATATTTCAAGACAGAATTTTCTTCAGATGTCTTGTCTTATTCACATGCAAAAGAAAGGTGGGTAACTTAACTGGTACGTCCCTAGCCAGAATAGAAGCAACATGAAGCAGAAAGAGAAAATTTATCAAAATGAAATGTTCAATTTTTTAAAACTATTCAATTTTTTAAAAATAACTAATTTTTAAAAAATAATAAAAAATCAAATGTAAAAATAAAGCTATTAGAATATAAGTCCTGCTGGAGAGAGAAATCTCTTGTGCTCCTTTTACTTCATTAATATCTCTTCCATTCATTTAGTGAAGAGAAAAATCACCCTGACATGGGGGGAAATGCAGAAAAAAAAATCTATATATCTATAGATAAATTCCACTTATAAGCAGAAGTGAAGAAATCCTAAAAGAAAACAGCAAATTAGAAAATTCTTCATAATTAAACCTCCTCTACACAAAGAATGAGACATTATTTAAGAAATAGGGAAATACATAGGCTAAAATAATGTCTTCTTAATACTTAATATTTTAAATGAATGCTATGGACAGTCCAGTAGATATTCCCTAACTTAGGCAATGAAGTAAAATGGAATGTAACAAAAGGCCTAATGTTTAAAATATAGGAGTTTGGGGCTGCATGACTGGCCAGTTGGAACAGCATGTGACTTGATCTTGGTGTTACGAGTTTGAGCCCCACACTGGGGCTAGAGTTTACTTAAAAAGTACTATAAAATACATAAATGTATATAATACCATTGACTTATAAGATCAACTCAAAATTATACTGGTCTTCTTAAAAACAGTTGATAAATTCCTAGAATTGAAGCGTGTTGAGTGACTTAATATGTATTCTTTATCCAAAATCACTATACCAGCAGTAACCCACTGGAAAACAGAATGGGAATACAGACCCTTTTGACATTGGCAACAGTTAGAAGGTAGAAATGACTGTGATGAATGTGCAGGACCTATTTCATGTTTTCTTTCTGTCAGGTTTGTACTTTAACAAGAGAAGATAACCGCTCCTTGGGGGTTATCCCTCAGGATGAGCAACTCCACGTTCTACCGCTCTACAAACTCTCGGACACAGATGAGTTTGGCTCTAGCGAAGGAATGGAAGCCAAGATCCAGTCTGGGGCCATTGAGGTGCTCGCTCCCCGCCGTAAAAAAAGAACACGTTTTACCCAGCCAGTTCCTCGTTCTGGGAAGAAGAGGGCAGCAATGATGACAGAAGTTCTCGCACATAAGATAAGAGCTGTGGAGAAGAAATTCATTCCTCGGATCAAGCGCAAGAATCACGGGACAACAAACAGTAGCAAGGCTTCCTCGCTGCCGCTTTTAGGTGAGGCCTGTGGACGCTCCTGAGTTTCTGTGCACAACTCCCATTGGCCAGAGGGTTGGGACTTGCCTTTGCACTTTATTTCCTCTCTCTTTTATCTTTGCCGCTCTCCTAGGCATGAGGCATTCTGGGGAAAAAAGAAAGAAAGAAAAAAAGAACCCAACCTGAGATCAGATATCAATTCAGTTAGGTAGTTATTCTTAAATCTCCTTGGTTTTTAATACAGGTTGGTTTAGAGTTTAAAATAAGATACTGACAACTTTCACATACGCAATTTCTCTGTACTGGCCAGAACTCAGAGTCAACAAGAAGGTGGCCCCTCCGTATTTCTTGGTATTTTTTCTAGTTATGGTGTTTGTTTTGTTTTGTTTTTGTTCCCCATCTGTTTGGAAGTCGTACTCCTCCTTCTTGGCATCTGTGATCGCTTCCTTGAAGTCTTCCTCAGTCAAGTTTAGCATCAATTTAAGTGAGGCAGTCAGCAGGTATTACCGAGCACCCCTTTGTGTGGTTGGGGGTGTTGGGAATGTATCGGTGAAAGATTTAGAGGGAGTGCTGTGCAAGCAAACCAGTTGAATATGGTTGTTAGAGAGTCATTTGCTGAGAATGAGGAATTAGAGTCAAGGCCTCAAAGCAATGAACATCATGAGTGAATTTTATTTGGAGAAATAGCATTCCAGGCAGAGTAAATGGCCGATGTAAAGGTCAGGAGGGAAGAATTTGCCTGGAACACTTGAGGCAAGCAAGGAGGCCAGTGTGGCTGACGCGGAGCAGGAAACGGGAAGAGCAGGAAGTAGATCAGAGGGGGAAGAGGGTGTCTGAGCGGCTCATCTCAGGCTTCATTGACTGCTGTTGAGGGAAAGGAACGTTATTGGCTATTTCAGAATCTAGAAGGGCTGGGGCACCTGGCTGGTTCATTTGGTGGAGCGTGTGACTCTTGATCTCAGGGTTTTCAGTTCAATCCCACATTGGGTATAGAGATTACATAAAAATGAAATTAAAAAAAAGAAAGAAAGAAAGAACAGAGAAGGACTATAACCTGACTGAAACCTAGCATTCTGCTTACTGGGTTGAAACCAGAAAACAGTAGGCAGAGAACAAACAGTAGGGTGATGGTATAGCGGCCATTCTAACAGCTCAGGAGAGAGGTGATGGAGCTTGGACCAGATTGGCTAATGAAAAGAATGTGAGAAATGTCTGGTCCTGGATGTTTTCAAGGTAGAGTCAACAAGATGTCTCATAAATCTGGAATGTAGACAAAAAAAGAAGTGTGTGTGTTTATCCTGATGTTGGTCTGAAGGACTTGGAAAGATGGGGAAATCACCGAAGGTTATGAGAAAAGGGGAGAAAGGGATAGATTTGGAAAGATACAGAGGGAAATCAGAAGCTCACTTTTGGACATGTCAGTTTCTTTTTTTTTTTTTTTTTAAGATTTTATTTATTTATTAGACAGAAATCACAAGTAGGCAGAGAGGCAGGCAGCGTGAGAGAGGGGGGAGGCAGGCTCCCTGCCCCATGCGTAGTTCAATCCCAGGAGCCCAAGATCATGACCTGAGCCAAAGGCAGAGGCTCAACCCACTGAGCCACCCAGGCGCCCCAACATTTTTAATAACAGAATAATTCTTATTTCATCTATATCCTTATCCAGGCGCCACCCCTTCAAAATTTTTGATAACAAATTGCAGAAGTCGGGACACCTGGTGGCTCAGTGGGTTAAGCAGCTGCCTTTGGCTCGGGTCATGATCCCAGCGTCCTGGAATCCAGTCCTGTGTCAGGCTCCTTGCTCAGCGGGGAGCCTGCTTCTCTCTCTGCCTCTGTCTGCCACTCTGCCTGCTTGTGCTCTCTTTGACAAATAAATTAAGGAAAAAAAATCTTTAAACAAATTGCAGAAGTCACATCATATTATCAATTACCTCATCAGTATGTGTCACTAAAAGATAAGGAATGTTAAGAACCATAATACCCAAAACAAATAAATCAAATAATGCCTTAATACCAATCAGTGCTCACACTGCTCCATCTGTCTCCTAAATGATTTTTCTTTTTTGACATTTGGTATGTTTAAATCAGTATCCAAACAAGGTCACACATTACAGTTAGTTGTTATGTCTCCTATACCTTTTTTCATTTAAAGCTTGCTTTTCCTATTTTTTGTTCTTTTTTCTTTTTTACATTTATCAGAAACCATTATCCTGTAGAGACAAATTCAGCTTCAGTTTTAAAAACACTTAACTATGGGCTCGCTTCGGCAGCACATATACTAAAATTGGAACGAAACAGAGAAGATTAACATGGCCCCTGTGCAAGGATGACACGCAAATTCGTGAAGCATTCTTTTAAATAAATAAATAAATAAATAAATAAACACTTAACTATGGGGACACCTGGCTGGCTCAGTAGGTAGAGCGTATGACTTGATCTTGGGCGAGATGGCGAGTGGAACCCCATGTTGGATGTAGAGCTCACCAAAGCAAAAACAACCAACCAGAAAACAAAAAACAATTGCTGTGGCATGGACACTGGCTCATTTCTATACTCTTGTTTTTTTACATCAGGAAACACAGTATCTGATGGTATTTCTTTTTGTGATGTTAAGGCCGATCCATGGTACAGGTGTTGTCAACATGATTTACTGATTATAATGTTCCCTAGGAGCTTTTTGCCTGATGGTTTTAGAAACACTTACTACAATGTTCTATATTCTTTATTCCATCAGGAGTAACACAGTCTACCGTTCTTTATCCATTTGTTAGGCGATCTTTTAAAAAGAAATACTGTCCTTACCAAGAACTTATTAACTCTGAGATATGGGTCATATAGAGAAATTAGAATAAGTGCTTGGCAATTTGACTTTACTCTCCACTTTTCAGAATACAAGTTAATTTCTAGGCATCTTCCAATGTGTTCAATTTCGTTTTCATTTAGTATCATTTTGATCTCATGTTTTTTATATTTTTGTTATTTTATTGGCAGTATTTCTAGTTCATTATTATTTATAATTTATATTTCAGTGCACATTATATAGGGTTATTTTCCCCCCAATTAAATATGAAAATGCTTTTTAAAGTCCTCAAATTGAGGCGTGCCTGGGCGCTCAGTTGTTAAGTGTCTGCCTTCGGCTCAGGTCATGATCCCAGGGTCCTGGGATCGAGCCCCACATCTGGCTCCCTGCTAAGTGGGAAGGCTGCTTCTCCCTCTCCCTCTCCCGCATCCACTGCTTGTGTTCCCTCTCTCTCTTTCTCTCTCTCTCTCTGCCAAATTAATAAATAAAATCTTGAAAAAAAAACCAAACAAATAAAGCCTAAAAAAAAAAATCCTCAAATTGAAACCAAATATCCTTAAATTGTCCCATCTTTGATCAGTAGAAACCCATCATGCTGGCTTCTGAACTTTTTGTCATGACCCCAATTGTTTTTGAGGGCTTCCTTAGCTTCTGTTCTGACAAGATGTTCTAGGCTCATCTTATATAATCCTGCCCAGTATATAAATTCAGCCATCTCTTCAGGGAGTCTAAAGAAAAAAATACACCTTGAATTTATACTGAAACTCCACATTAGAGTTACAGGGTATTCCTTAACCTTAATTTTTATTGTTGTTGTTGCTGCTGCAAAGGAGAGTTGGCTTATTTTGCGTTTTGTAAGATGAGAGAAATGATGGTGGACATTTATATAATGCTAGGAAAGATTCAATAAATAGACTGTGACGAGGCAAGGCAGAGAGAATTAGCATTCCTTTTTGCTTGTTAGCTCCATTCACAAATACTTAGTTTGATTTATTTATAGATTCCCATGCCTAGTTCCACGCTGCCTGTAAACAGCATGCCTGTCATTTTCATCTTTTTGTCATTCCCTAATAGCATCTTCACAAGCTATGTTTTCAGTAACTTATATCCTGTTAGTAGTCCTCTGCACAATGTTTGGCTTATAGCCCCTTGTCCTTTTATAATCTTACCCATAAGAATGTTTTTATTATTTATCTTATTTTTTTAAGATTTTATTTATTGATTTAGAGAGAGAGAGAGCACAAGCAGCAGGGAGAGGGAGAAGCAGGTTCCCAGCTGAGCTGGGAACCCGATGTGGGGCTTGATCCCGGGATCCTGGGATCACAACCTGAGCCAAAGGCAGGCGCTTAACCGGCTGAACCACCGAGGCACCCCCATAAGAGCTTCTTAAAATAGATTTATCCATTTCAATAAAAGACTTCTTACTTTTTTTTATTCTCCTTCCCCTAACCCAAATCCTCCAAGACTCATTACTCTTTTATAATCTTTCCTCCCCATGATTTATGTTCTGTTGACAACCTCTGTAATAGATGTAACCACAGATTTCTTAATGTGCCACCCCTTGGGTTCCATGTACAAGTTCTCTTAAAAAATGAGAATTGGCAGGGTGCCTGGGTTGCGCAGTCAGTTAAGCTTCTGACTCTTGATTTCAACTCAGGTCGTGATCTCAGCGTTGTGAGATGGAGCCCTGCATCGGGCTCTTCACTGGGACTCGAGCCTACTTAAGATTCTTTCTCCCTTTGCCTCCTCCAACCCCCTAAAGAGAGAGAGAGAGAGAGAGAGAGCTGAGGCACTTGGCTGGCTCAGTCAGTGGAGCATGAGACTCTCCATCTCAGAGTGGAAAACCCACACAGGGCTCTCTGCTCAGCAGGGAGCCTGCTTCTCCCTCCCTCCTGCCTGCCTCTCTGCCTACTTGTGATCTCTCTCTCTCTCTATCAAATAAATGAATAAAGTCTTAAAAAAAAAAAAAAAGTTGGGGCGCCTGGGTGGCTCAGTGGATTAAAGCCTCTGCCTTCAGCTCGGGTCATGATCCCAGGGTCCTGGGATCGAGCCCCACATCGGGCTCTCTGCTCTGCGGGAGGCCTGCTTCCTCCTCTCTCTCTCTGCCTGCCTCTCTGCCTACTTGTGATCTCTGTCAAAAAAAAAAAAAAAAAAACTTAAAAAAAAAAGTAAAATAAAATAAAAGTGAAAATTATCTTGGTGCTGGCTTAAGCAGCACATATACTGAAAGTGGAACAACACAGAGAAGATTAGCATGGCCCCTGTGCAAGGAAGACCTACAAATTTGTGAAGTGTTCCATGTTGTATTTTATTTACTTTTTTAAAATTTTATTTACTTTTTTAAGCTTTTCATGTTTAAAAAGAGAGAAATAATTATCCTGTCTCCAGGTTGTATTGCATTATGTTAGTTTCAGGGGTACAATATATTACATGTGCTTGTTATTATATTGTTAATTACTTTAAAACATGGCCACATTTTCTATTTCTGGTCCTAAAATCTGCTGCTTTTGCTCAAGCAGAAAATTTTTAGAACCTCAAAACAGGAAGAATGTCCTCAAGAAAATGTTTCCATTTGATATGAGGTTTGTGTGGTTATGTCTAAACAGATTACCTACAATGGCCGATGTGGTAATAAAGATCTTCCTAATCAGTGAGAAAGAAACAAGGCTTACATGCACCCGGTCTTGAGGGCCACAAATGACTTATTTCCACTAAAATTTCTTAACGTGACTTCCCTTTGCCTAATAATTGAGTTTGCCAGTTATGCTGTTTTCTCAATAACTATTACTTTATTTTTACTTTTTTGAAAGTGAGATCATGCGATATCTAAAATGTATCTAAATATCTCTTTGGGTAGAAATACTGCTCTAAATCGTCATGTTATCCCCTGCATTGTGTTCCAATGTATGATTTTAACATTTAACTTCATCGCCAACTAGGTCATTTCTAATCTCTTACTGTTTCAAACAATGGACATCCTTCTGGCTAAATCTTTGTGCTTATTTATATTATTTGCAAGGGGAAGAATTCTTGAAGTAAAATTGTTGGGTGAAAAAGCATACCAGACGACGTGCAATTTTTAATGCCTGCTTGTGTGTTTGACTTAAAGGCAAGAGAACAAAACTGGCCGACATTGCCGTCACCGATGTTTTGTTACATTATCCTTTGTATTTCTCTTTAAAATACTCCTTAAAGACAATTCCCAAAAAGTAGTTGTACTTATCTTCGCATTTGGTGTCCTTTTCTCTGTTTAGGGAATAAAACCGAAGCCTTGCAACTTGAAATAAAAAGTGAAACTGAACCCCATTTTATCTTCAAAGGTTCGGACAACACTAAAACCTACTCATTGACCCCATCCATTCCTCACCCATTGAAAGAGGCAAACATACCTCCAGGTTTCTCTTGGTCCCCTAAGACGGCGTCAGCCACCACAGCTCCTTGTAAGAGTGATGCGTCCGTTCCCTACGGGTTTTCAGAAAGAAGTAGCAATCCCCACTGCACGGTGCCTTCTGCGAGACACAGCGGTGCTAATGCAGCTGCGGGGGAATGCACTGGAATTGCACAGCCTGGCGAAGTGGTTTCTCTGCCCACGCTGCCCGCTCCCGTGGCAGACACCCTGGTTTATTCTGAGCCGCCCACTGGTCCGTCTGAACAGCCACCTTCCAATCACCCAAGCCAGCAGCCCCCCTGCCCCACTTGTCCCCATGACCTGGCGTCCTCTCTAGTGGAAGAAGACGAGCCGCATTCTGATGCCGACGAGCCTCTGTCCGACGACCCCCTGTCCGACGACCCCCTGTCCCCCGCGGAGGAGAAGCTGCCCCACATCGATGAGTATTGGTCAGACAGCGAGCACATCTTCCTGGACGCCAACATCGGTGGGGTCGCGATAGCGCCTGCCCACGGCTCGGTTCTGATCGAGTGTGCGCGGCGGGAGCTTCACGCCACCACGCCCGTCGAGCACCCGAACCGGAATCACCCCACTCGCCTCTCCCTTGTTTTCTACCAGCACAAAAACCTGAATAAGCCCCAACACGGTTTTGAACTAAACAAAATTAAGTTTGAGGCTAAAGAAGCTAAGAATAAGAAAATGAAGGCCTCGGAGCAGAAAGACCAGGCAGCTAATGAGGGTCCCGAACTGTCCCCTGAAGTTAATGAGTTGAACCAAATTCCTTCTCATAAAGCGTTAACATTAACCCATGACAATATTGTCACCGTGTCCCCTTATGCTCTCACACATGTTGCAGGACCCTATAACCATTGGGTCTGAAGGCTTTTCTCCCCTTCTTAATGCCTTTGCTAGTGCAGTGTATTTTTTCAAGGTGCTGTTAAAAGAAAGTCATGTTGTCGTTTACGTATCTTCATCTCACCCATTTGAAGGCTGAGGTAAAAAACAAAAACAAAAACAAAAAAAAACAAAAATGGGGTGGGTATTTCTTAACTGTGACTATATTTTGACAATTGGTAGAAGGTGCACATTTTAAGCAAAAATAAAAGTTTTATAGTTTTAAATACATAAAGAAATGTTTTGGTTAGGCGTTAACCTTGATAGAATCACTCAGTTTGGTGCTTTAAATTAAGTCTGTTTACTATGAAACAAGAGTCATTTTTAGAGGATTTTAACAGGTTCATGTGCTATGATGTAAAATCAAGACACAGTGTTAACTCTACACAGCTCCTGGTGCTTACCCACATCAACAGTTAAAAATAAGCTGCATTATTATTTCATGGTGCCATCGTTCCAACATCTTCCAATCATTGCTAGAATATCGGCATATTCCTTTGAAATAAACCAATGAAATGTTTTCTCTCTCAAAATATCTCTCCTGTATAAAATAATTCATTATTGTTAATAATGGTTGGAGGCTGTTCATAAATTGTAAATATATATTTTAAAAGCACTTTCTATTTTTAAAAGTAACTTGAAATAGTATAGTATAAGAATCTTATTGTCTATTGTTTGTGCATATTTGCATACAAGAGAAATCATTTATTCTTGCTGTGTAGAGTTCCATCTTGTTAACTGCAATATGTATTCTAATCATGTATATGGTTTTTTTTAATGTGTCCTTTCTCATGCAAATATTAGCTACTTATATAAAATAGTTAGAACATGCAAAAATCGTTAATTTTCTCTAAAGTTGGGATTAGGAAGCATATCACCAATATCGATTAACATTTTATTTGGAACTAAGTAAGCGTGGTCTCTTCTGATTTATCAAGCAACAGTGGCCCTAATTTCACTTTCACCCCAGCTTTCTCAAAATACTCATGAAAGGTTTTTCCAAAAGGAGATGGGACATTGTAGGATTCAGAAGAGTCAAATGCTTCTAAAGTTTCAAGGTGATAAAATATAAAAATGAAGTAGCAAGAACCCAACCCATTCCAAATTGCCTTATTTGTTTTGGTACAGAATAAGAATAAAATTCCCATAGAAATCTTGTGAAAACAAATCCCCTATTGTTGTCACACATCCACACATCCCAAACAGTAGGAGTGGTAATCTAAGTATGGTATTGCCCATTAAGAGCTAATCCAAAGTAGTTTATCTAAGCATATTAGTATTAGGGAAATAAAAACCCATCTTCTCTGATACTTGCCTGTGTTCTAGGTAACAGGAAAATAGGCATTCCATTTAAGTTAGCCCTCCCGTATTTTTTCCCGTTACTTATTGGCTCATTTTATAGCAAAACAAAAAGAATTGCCCAAACAAAATGTTTAGAGCAAGAAATTTCAATGAAATACTTGATTCTATTAAAATGAAGAGGTGCTATAACATTCAAAGTGTCAGATACCTTGGGAGTGTGGAAAACCTAAATAATGGTGCTTCTCCCTTGGAAATGCCATAGGAAGCCCACAACTGCTAACACTCAACAATTTTGGTGCAAAAGCAAACAGTTCCAGCAAGCTCTAAAGAAAAACTCATTGTAACTTATATTAAAATAATATATGGTGCAAAGTATCAGTTTCAAGCTTTTGACTAGTCCAACTAAAGGAATATGAAGGGATTGTATATAACAAATACCATTGGTAGACCATCATCTTGTACAAGTAAATTTCTGCTTCTTGAATATGTAAAATAGGGTGATTCATTGACTTGTTTTAGTATTTTGTGTGCCTTAGATTTGCGTTTTAAAACATGTATATTTTTGTGAGCCTAAGGTTTCTTATACATATAAGTATATAAATAAGTGATTGTTTATTATTTCAGCTGCTTTGATATCTACTAGTATTAGACTATCAGGAATACACCCTTGTGATATTTCGTTTTAGATATTAGGCCTTAGCTCCCACTAGAAATTTTCTCACCAGATTTAATGAATCAAGTTTTAAGACCCTTTATCCATCCACCCATCTTCCTTCCATTCAACACTTCCTGAATGTCTGCAGAATTTAAATATTAGCTTTTTTCTTTGAACTGCCACCCATGGTATACGTGAAGAATTGAAATCCTAAAAGATGCTTTGGTCCATGCTTTTCAAAGAAACAGCAAATTTCCTTCAAAAGAATCCATTGGTGGGGGGGGGGGGGCCTGGCTGGCTCAGTTGGTAGAGCATGTGACCCTTAATCTCAGGGTCGTGAATTCGAGCCCCACATTGGGCACGGAATCTATTTAAAACTGAAAACACAGAAAGAACAAAACATCTGTTGTAACATATCTGCAGCAGTTCAAGTCAGTGTCACTAACTTTGAGGTTTCTTAACAACTGAACTTGAAGTGGCTGTGTGACTTACAGGAATCCTGGGATTTGTGAAGTTGGCTGCAGCTGCCCAAAGCCAGTACATGAAAATGTCCCTTCTCAACTAAAATGTTTCCATTCCATTATTATAATTAACACCATCAATGTCCTGCCTCAACTGATAACCCCATGGTGGGAACCACATGTGATTCCCACTTTGTTGGACTCTACTTCATAAATTAACAGTTCACCATCCCATTGTCTGACCTGTGATTTTTTTTTTTTTCTTTTTAAAAGCTCGTGCTTATTCAGTGTTCTCCAGCATTGTGATTGTATGCTAGTGACACTGCTTTTAAGAAGCAAGGAAATAAATTTGTTTGAAATGACATTTTCACCAGAAAACTGGTCATCTAACATTATTTCTGCACCTTCTATTATGTTTATCTATAGCGATCACCTTTTGTATTACCTGTTTTATACTACTCAAAATGAGTTTTTCAATATTCTGCCTTTGTTCATGGTATGATAATTGAATTAGTTGATACGTGACCCCCCAAGTTAACCCAACTGTCCATAGTATGTTACAAACATCCTAACTACAGTGAACTGCCTATTTTAGAAACCCACAAAATAAGTACGCTGCCCTTCAAAATCCCATTTCTAATGGCTCTCAGAGCATGGTTGAAAAAAATTTTTCTTCTGCTTATCAGCCTCACCTACATCTTTCCAGTTCATCCACAAAGTACCAAATACATCATGTCATAGACCTAATTGAAATATATTATTGGAAAGTGAGGCAAGCTGAAAATGTATAGCTGTAGGTAAATTTTTGCAGCACATTAGCAAAATGTTTGCAGCTTAACCTTCCAACATCTTTGTTACGCAATCTGCATGTGGATGAAATAATTTGTTAAATATAGAACTTCAACTAGATGAGATCCATAAGCAATTAGTTAAGACATAACCCCAATACATACTTAATTGAATGCATACCCTTGTGTAAATGAGATACCAGTTCATACCAAGTAACCTACTTTCTAATGTTACTACTTCAGCGGACTCAGCTGATTATCCTTTATTCCACAATAGCATGTATGAAAATAACCCTAAACTACTAAAGTTTACTCTTTGAAACAAATTCAATTGAGATTTTTTTTATCTGGGACAAAGTTTTGACATTGCATGACAACTTCCATCAATAGTGGGCACATTATTTCCTTCGAATGTGCTTAGTAAATCGGTAGCTGTCATATGACTTTTTAATAATATATAGCTACCTTCTATTTCACAACTTCTTGATGCATGGAAATTTCTTTTTTTGTCTAGAGTTAGTACAACTATGAATTTTGGTCTTCTGTAAAAATTTATGATGAGAATTGTGAAATAATATGGTAGTGGCCTCCCACAACTCTAGAACTCACACCTTAGAAGTCACACAGTTCAAGCACTGGGGCCCAGAGAGCAGTTGTTAATGTCAGTGTGTACTTAAGTTTATAATGAGAGTTCAAACTATTAAGTGGAGGCCATTTTGTGTTTTGGAGAACTGGAGGAAACAAACTTGATTTGCTCACCCAGAGAGTATCTTATCACTGGGAAATAACCTGATTGTGGTACAAGTAAAAAATCAAAATGGCTTTTTATTTTTTCTGTTGGGTTTTGTTGTTTTTTTCTGAGAGATTCAGGAAAACAAGACAAGTGAAATTGAATCAAGATTCCCCTGCCTGCAGAGTTTCGTGGGCCTTGTGTGGGAAATCTAGCTGACTTTTACCTATGACACTGTCCTGTTAACTCATCCAACAAAATGTGGCAATAGTCTTATTTGCGATTTCAATAAAGAAATATCAAGTACTTAGATAGTACAGGCTTTTATTTCCCCTGATAAAAGTATTAGGCATATACAAGGAGTTAGAAAAAATTGAGTGGTTGAAAGAATTGGGGAAAAATACCAATTGTATATATTACCTATGGTTGTACAGTCTATTCCCACTTCTTGCCAAGTTGGCCTCACAATGAAGTCTAATTCACTTCGATGTGATTGTCTACATGTATTAGAATACTGTTTTATTGTGCACAGCTCCGAAACTTGCCCAGAAGTGTATTGAACTTGTAACTTCAACATCAACAGTAAGGCACCCTCAACCAGGTGATAGAATGAGTGCCCTGATTCCTAAAGAGTCTGGATTTACCCAGATCGAATTGTGCTTGGCATTGTGCTTTCATCTAATAGATTTAGAGAATGTGGCCATTCATGGCTCTGGAATGCAAGCCAGAGAATCAGCGTGTCAGAAGCTAAATTTGTGCATTTTCTTAGAGTGTATTGAGATTTACTGGCTTTTTTCCCTTTTCTCATTTATAAAATAGAGTCTAAGTTACTCTGTTCATTTTGGAGATGGTAAAATTGGCTTTTATGCAAGAAGACATCGCTCTTTTTGTCCACATTGAACTCTAGAAACTTGAATTCTCTGCATTCCAATATCTCTGGATGTCTGTTTCAGTCCCTGTTCTTTCTGGGCACCCAATCAAATACCATTGTTCACTTCAAAAGGCATACATTTTATTCCTTCGAGTAATGCAAAGGTTTTCCTTACTTGGCCACTTGTAA